CTAATGGTCAATTTTCCTATTTCAGTGGGGCTGAGCTCAGTGTTGTCTGCACCATCATCCCAAAGGCCTAACAACCAAGCTGGGACAGACTCCCACCACCGCTGCTTGCATTGCTTGGCCAAGTCCCGTAACTCTGTGGCAGAAGACGTTGTATAAGACCTATGCTGGGTCAAGTGTGGGGTCCCACCATCCCGGCTCCCAGCACTAAAGTTTCCTCTATCTCTACCTTCTGCCCCACCAAGGGTTGGGCGCGTCGTAGGGACTGGGCAGGGCTGCTAGTGCGGAAGACGCAGCCCACTCTGCGGGACCAAGGAGCAGGAGTTCAGCCGCCTCCAGGGCTGCTCCAGTCCTCCTCCTTCCACCGTAGCTACTGCACTTGGTTTGTAAGGTCCTGGATGTCTCGGCTGGTATGTGGCAAGGCAGCCAGGAACATCCAGGCAAACTTACCCGCAGCCTCCCAATGAGTGAAGGGAATATTCGGCTCCAGCGTTTCCAAAGCCTTCCGTACTTGGTCAGGCTGGGGACATACAGCGTCCCAATCTTCCGGCAGCGTCCAGGCCATCAGGTATGCTACCACCGGGTACCAGGGGGTTCGGGGGCGGGGGGCACATCGCGTCCACTCGGGGCTGCTCCTCACCTCACCCTGCCAACTACACCAAGTGTCAGAGACCGGGGGTTTCAAGGCAGGGGGAGGGGGCGGTTTGGTGCTGAGATACCCAAGGTAAAGAAAGCATGCGGAGCTGACATGTAGGGGTGGGGCGGGTCAACAAATGACAGCAGCTTTATTCAATACAGCTAGTGGCTTCTTTTTTTTTTTTTTAATCCTCACCTGAGGACAATTTTTTACATTTATCTTCGGACAGAGCAGGAGGGAGAGAGGGAGGAAGAGACAGAGAGAAACATCCACCCGGAGAGAGACACATAGAGTGGGTGCCACCCACACGACCCCAACTGGGGTAAGGGACAAACTGCAACTGAGGTACGTGCCCCCAGCGGGAACCAAATCCGGGACTCTCTGGCCTGCGGGCCATGCTCTCACCACCGAGCCAAACCTGCCAGGGCCAGCTAGTGGCTTTTATAGACTGCTGTGGCAGGATACTCTGCATGGTACAGTGCACAAGACAGTGCGTGGTGCATGAGTCCTAAGCTTTTGCTTTATCATGCTTATATGGTAACGTGGTTTGCGCCTGCGCAGCCAGTTCTGGGGTCATGTCCTGAACTGGGGCCTCTATCAACAACAGGCCAGGCTCCTAGGCCCCAATAAGTGCTAAAACTGAGAAATAGAAAGTGTTAGTGGTAGCCAATTTCCCAAAATGGTCTCTAAAGACACCTCACTTGTGCCCTTATGTAGACTCCTCCCATATTAAATAAAGTCGACCTTTTGTAAATATAGTCATGTACTCAATAACAGTGTTATTTATGGTCAATGATGAAGCATATATGTGAGGGTTGTCGCATAATATTGTAATGGAATTGAAAAATTCCTATCCCCTGGTGACATCAGAACACATTCCTCACATATTTGTGGTGCTGGTGTAAACCTGGGCTACCAGTCCTATAAAGGTATAGTACATACAATTACGTACAGTACATAATACTTGATTATAATAACAAAAGACTATGTCACTGGTTTATGTATTTACTATACTTTTTGTTAGCATGTACTCTAATTATAAAAAAAAAGTTTGCTGTAAACAGTAGGCAGTGCTCTGCCAGCAGCAGCCTCATGCCTCTCCTGTTTACATCTTGATTGCATTGTTTTCTCTTCTACTTGATTTAATCTCTTGTTTTGTACAGTTACCTGCTGTACAGGCTTGTAGCCAAGGAGCAATAGGCTATACCATACAGTCTAGGTGTGTAATAGGCTATACCATCTAGGTTGTGTAAGTGCACTTCACTCTATCATGTTCACATAACAAAATCACCTAATTATGTATTTTTCAGAGCTTTTCCCCACCCATAAGCAGCACATGACTGTGATAGCACATTGTGGAAATAACTGTGTGACTTCCCAGACTAGATCACAAAAGACATTATGGCTTCCACTTTGCTCTTTGGAGGAAGCCAATTGCCATGTTACAAGGACACTCAACTCAGTGAGGAACCAAAACCTCTTGCTATCAGCCTGTAAATGAGCCATCTTCCAAGGGTGTCCTTCAGCCACAGGGAAACCTTCACATGATTCAGCCCCGGCCCACATATTCACTACAATTTCATGACATCCTGAACAACCCACAGTCCTGATTTACAAAAACTCAGATAATCTAAGTTTGTTGTTTTAAGCTGCTAAATTTGGGGGTAATTTGATAGAGTAATAAATAACTAATACAGTGCTCTGGAGAAAAGTTATGCTTAGTAAAAACTTACAAGTTGTGGGGGGGACACTATATTTGACAAGAGGGTATGGATTAGGCCTCTCTTATAAAGGCATTGGGCAGGAAGGAAGACATCCAGAAAAAGAATGTTCCAAGCAGAGCTTAAAGGATTTCTAAGACTTAGTACCAACAAAAGATGTTGGCTTAGCCTTATTAGTGGAACAGCAATAGTTTCTTTTTTCTTTTTATCCTCACCTGAGGACATTTTTGCATTTATCTTTGGATAGAGCAGGAGGTGAGACACATCAACCAGTCACCACCCACACAACCCCAACTGGGGCGGGGACAAACTGCAACCGAGGTACGTGCCCTTAGCGGGAACTGAACCCAGGTCTCTCTGGTCTCTCTGATCCCTCTGGTCCCCAGGCTGACGCTCTAACGGCTGAGCCAAACCAGCCAGGGCAAACAGCAATAGTTTCAATGTGACTTAAGTGGAGTGAGCAGAGTGGGAAGGGGATGTGGCAGCTCAGAGGCAGGGGTTTGGGTGGTGGCAGATCATATAGGGCCTTCTAGAATAAAAAGGCCTTATTCCATTCAAGCTGCTACAACAAAATGCCATAGACTGGGTGGCTTATAAACAAGAAATTTATTTCTCACAGTTCTGAAGTCCATCATCAGTCGTGCCAGCTCTTCCTGATCATAGACTTCTTATTGTATCCTCTCCTGGATATCTTTCAAAAAAAAGCACTAACCCTACCATGAAGGCTCTGCCCTTCATGAACTAATCACCTCCCAAAGCCCCTGCCCAGCACCACTACCTTGGACATTAAGTTTTCTTTCACCATATGAATTTGGAAATGGGAGGGGCACACAAACTTTCAGATCATAGTAGTAAGATGCTTGAATTTTATTCTGAACCAAGGGAAGCCCCTGGAGGGTTTTGAGTATGAAGGGCAACCTTGACCTAGATTTTTAAAAATGCCTCTATTTTCCTTGGTGGTAAGGGCCACTTGGATTCTGAATATGTAATGCTCAGTCTGTAATTGTGATGATTGGTTCAGTTAGGCTATGCAGATGAGTCTAAGAACTCCCTAAGCCTTTAACAGTCATGGTTCCTATAGAATAGCACTGCTACATAGGAGGCCAGAGTTAACTGAGCACATGAATGGGGATGTGCTGCTAATTGTAAAATACACACTGGAGTTCCAAGATTAAACATCAATTTTACCTGGGAAATTAAACATCAATTTTACCCCCCACCCCCTTTTTTTTTAAATCGTGGCTACTATTCGATTTAAGATGGCATATGTGGCTTGGATTCGATTTCTATTGGGCAACAACTTGTCTGGCATTTTTTCATTAAGGACTTTCTCCCGTGGCCTTTGGGCGAAGGGCCGCCACGGAGAGACGGCTCAGGCTTGGACTCTTCGGTTTTCCTGTGAATTCTCTCAGCCTCAGGGTCGAGTGGGTGACGCCTCGCTTTCGTGACCACGATACACCTGGTGGCAGAGGTGCAGCTCATGGTCCTCCGAAAAGTGCCGACCATTGTGTGGACGCCAGGACCATTGTCAGGGTCCTTCCAAACCGGGAGCCGCCCTGGGCGCCCTACTACTCCTTCTGTCGCAGCGATCGCCTAACCACATCACACCGCTCCCAAAACCCTGAAGGGAAGTAACCCAGAAGTCTCGAAGACCTTGGATCTTCACCCACTCCAGAAGACACAATCAAAACTCACCTGGGGCTCTCTCTCCCCCCCCCCCCCCCACCTCCTCTGTTTCTCTCTGCTCTGTCTCTGCCAAATGACTATACAGTAAGAAAACAGCCAATGCAAACCAGGAAGTGGGAGCTCACCAGACACTGAGTCTCCTGGCACCCTGATCTTGGATTTCTCAGCCTACAGAACTATGAGAAATGAATGTTTATTGTTTAAGGCAGCCAGTCTATGGTATTTTATTACAGAAGCCCAGGCAGAATAATACAGTGCCTTTGAGAAACTTAAGTGCATCTAGCTAGAGGGTAAAGTGATACTCAGATCTGGAATTAGGAGAGATTTGTGGGACAGAGGAAAGGGCCTGGAAACTTCGGGCATATAGGTGGTATTTAAGGCCACATCAAAGGATGACCTCACCTCGGGAAGTGCACAAAGGGAGAAAAGAGAAGAGCCCGACTCAGAACCTTGCAGGACCCCAACATTTAAGAGAAAGGTGGAGGAAAAGGGATCTTCAAAGGTGATAGAGATGAAGCAGTAAAAGAAGACAAGTTACTAGAGAGAATGATGTCAAAGAAAGAGAACGATCAATGGCAAATTCTTTGACATATCAAGTATGACAGACAACAGGTCTCTATAATCCTTATTGAGAGGTAACAAAAGGCAGTGAGCTGAGAAGGAAAATGAGAGGTTTGCCAAGGAGGGACAAGTTGTTGAGATGACTCAGAATTCTGACCAGGAATGAGAATGAGAAGCATTAGAATAGGTAATAAAAACAAAACAAAACAAAACAAAACAAAAACAAGTCACCTGGGAGCACACAATCAATACCCAGGCTGATCCAATCAACACCCGCCCCAGGCCGACAAGGCGTGGCCCGGTTAGCCAATAGCATCTCTCACCTTCCCCGGCTCCTCATTGGAAGGGGCACGGTCGATAGGCGGGACTTCCTGTTCATCCGGGAATAACTTCCTAAGTGTACCTCTTTTCCCTCAGATCCAGCCAGGAAGTCGGCGGTCGCTTTTCCTCCTTGTGGGCCGTGAGGCGAGTTAAGGTTTGAGCGAGTCGTGGGGTCGGGTTGCTGATCGCTAGGTTTCTGCTTCTGTCGCCTTTTATTTCCCGTCTGGGGATGGCGACGTACACCTGCATCACCTGCCGAGTGGCGTTCGCCGACCCGGAGGTGCAGCGGGCCCACTACAAGACAGACTGGCACCGCTACAACTTGAAGCGGAAGGTGGCGGACATGGCCCCGGTCACCGCCGAGGGCTTCCAGGAGCGCGTGCGGGCGCAGCGGGCCGTGGCGGAGGAGGAGAGCAAGGGCACGGCCACCTACTGCACCGTCTGCAGTAAGAGGTTCGCCTGTTTGAACGCCTACGAAAACCACCTCAAGTCCCGGCGGCACGTGGAGCTGGAGAGGAAGGCCGTGCATCGCAAGGTGGAAATGATGAATGAAAAGAACTTGGAGAAAGGGTTGGGCGTGGACAGTGTCGACAAGGATGCCATGAACACGGCCATCCAGCAGGTCATCAAGGCTCAGCCGTCTCCCAAGAAGGCCCCGGCAGCGCCCAGGAAGGAGTCCGGGAGTCCCGGCGCGGCGGCCGATGGAGGCCGTGGGACTGACGACCGCGACCCGGCCGAGAAACCTCCCCGGTTACAGTGGTTTGAACGGCAGGCGAAGAAGCTGGCAAAGCAGCAGGAGGAGGAGGAGGAGAGTGGGGAGGACCTGGATGGAGACGGTAAAGGCGGGAGCGGGGGTGGGAAATTGGCCCCCCTTCGGTTTTTCAGACTGATACTCGAGGTTGGGTGGAGGGATCCGTTTTTAAGTGAAAGTGGTGTGTAAGGCAGGTTTCTATGATTTTTGAAGTCGCTTGTCTGCCCAGCATCCCCGCAGGGAATTTTGTCTATTTCGTTCACTGTTGTAGATTCGGGGCCTGAAACCTTACATGAGGGAAAATAGGTCCTTAGTAAACACTTAAGTAGTGAACTGGTGCCTTTTGAATGAGGAAGCTCTAACATATGCATAGGACACGTAATTCTCTTAGGTTTCTACTTATGACGGATTCGCACTTGATTTAGTTGGTTGACACAGTAAAATGAGGGGTTCAGAATCAGCTAGCTAAGCTAAAGTGAGGAGCTGCAGCCAGCAGCCTGACCTCCTTGACTTTGAGTAATTCTTGCTTTCCCTCATCACACATCCTATTAACACGGATTGTGTGCGTGCACATAGACAGACACCAAGACTCCAGGAGTTTGCTGTGGGCTGGAAAAGAACGCTTAAGGTATTTCTTAGCCATACAAATCGGTCTTTGGTTAAAGAGTAGTTAAACTTGAGATCTTGAAAGAGAGCACTAACACCTCATGTTTGTATATCTGTGTGGTTTCTTTGGTTGTGGTCACCACTTCTCTTAAACTGAGCTTGTTTTTCAAATCTCTGGCTTGAAGATTGGGAAGATATTGATTCTGATGAAGAATTGGAATGTGAAGATGCTGAATCGATGGACGAAGTGGAGGAGCAGGATGCAGAGGCTGGAGGAGGTGTCCCCCTAGGTGCCATCTCTATAAAGGACTGCTTATTTTGTCCCCATCATTCAAGCTCCCTCATGAAGAATGTGGCTCATATGACTAAAATCCATAGCTTCTTTATTCCTGACATAGAATATCTTTCGGATCTTAAGGGACTGATTCAGTATTTGGGTAAGTAAAATAGCTTTCGTTTTAATGAGGAAATCACACATAATTGGGGGGGCAGGTCATAAGGAAACGTTAGTTGTATGTTTCTCATCAATATTTAATTGAATTATGTTTATCTTGTGAAGATCAGCAACTTCATGGGTGTTTATTTGAAATGTACAGGTATATAGTGAGATTTAATCTGGCCACAAAAGCTTTTTTCATATTTTCCCCCCTCAAATTATTTTTCCAGGAGAGAAAGTAGGTGTTGGGAAGATTTGCTTGTGGTGCAATGAGAAAGGGAAGTCCTTCTACTCCACAGAAGCTGTACAAGCGCACATGAATGACAAAAGCCACTGTAAGCTCTTCACAGATGGTGACGCTGCTTTGGAATTTGCAGATTTCTATGACTTTAGGTAAGTCTGTGGTTTGTAATGTGAAGCGAAGTGAAGTCATCTTCTTTGCATTGAAGTGATATTAGATGTGCCAGTGCCTGCTTTGTGTCTGGCACCGTACAATATATTCTTTATAACTCTTATAACACTTCGGTATGTTTGTTATTCCCGCATTTTGTAGATGAGAAACTGAGTGTAATGAGTTAAACACATACATATGATAAAGAGATCTGATAAGAAGTTCTCAGGCCCCAAACTGAAATTTGTCTGTCTGAAAACTTGGGGGCTTTTTGGTGGTTTAATGGTTAGGAGTTCAGTTTTGCCAGTTGACCTTCTGAACAGAGGCACAGGAATTGGGTTTTGGTTTCCCTGAGAGTCCTTGAAGCACAAGCTGTCTCCTGCGGGAGTTGAGATGATTGCTTAATTAGGCCAGTCCGAGGCATTTGATGATGAGACTAGTCTATTGGTTGTTCACCCTTGACTAGAAACTTGGATAATTGATATATCATGCACCGAATCTATGCTAGACATTTTTGTACAACTAATCCCTGGTGTCAAGTTGCCTATGACCTACCACAGGTGTGCTACACAAGCAGGTGTGTATAATTAACAAACCAGGTGTGCATAATCCATATGATACAATTGTTCAGAAAAGTGCTACTCTCTTCAGTTGTCCTTTTGCAGTTTCCTCCTTATTTCTTTTGTAGTGAGGGAGAGTTTTTCATTTTTGTCACATTGATGGCTGTGTAATGGTATCCTATTGTGGGTTTAATTTGCATTTCCCTGATGATGACTGCTGTAGTTGAGAACCTTTTATGTATTAATTAGCCATTTAGATGTTTCTTATGAAATGTTTGACCAAGTCTTTTGTCTGTTTTTCTTTTGGGTTATCTGTCTACTGTTAATGTTTTATATGCATTTCTCCAATTATTGTCTATGTATTTGTGAACATTTCTAGGAATATAGAGATTCTTCTAGAACTGCACTGCCCAATATGGTAATTACTAGGTATATTCATGTGACTGTTTAAGTTAATTAGAAATTAAATTACAGATTTAAAAATTTAGTCCTTCTGTTGCACAACTACATGTCAAAGCTCACTGCTTAAAAGCACATTAATAGCTACCATTTCAGATACACATAGACAGTTTCTCTATCACAGAGTTCTATTGGACACCACAGTTCTCGAACTTTAAATTTTTAAAAAATCTTTCAGTTATTGTTGACATACAATATTATATTAGTTTCAAGTGTACAACATAGTGATTAGACATTTATATACCTTACAAAGTGATCACCTCAATAAGTCTCATACCCATCTGACACCATACATAGTTATTACAATATTATTGACTATATTCCCTATGCTGTACTTTATATTTTGGTGACTGTTTTTTCCACCTGTAACTGTTTTTATAACTGGCAATTTGTGCATCTTGATCCCTTCCCCATTTATCCAACCCTCTTCCATCTGGCAACCATCCATTTACAGACCTCATTATTTTCATGGTTAAATTGAGGAGAGCTGCATCTCCAACTCTATATTCTCTTCCTCTTTGGCTACCTTCCTAGGGAGAAGCAAATAGTAGGTAAAAAAATTTAATTTTAAGTCATTTGCTCTTTTTTTTTTTTTTTTTTAGTACAATTTTAGGTTCATAGCAAAATTGAGCAGCAGGTACAGATATTTTTCATATGCCCCGTACCCCCACACATGGATGGTCTCCCCCATTATCAACATCTTCCTCTAGCTGTACATTTGTAATAGTTGATGAACCTACACTGACTCATCATTATTCAGATCCATAGTTTGCATTAGAGGTCACTTGTGGTGTTTTGCGTTGGACAGATGTATAATGCCATGTATCCACCATTATAGTATCATGCAGAGTCCTTTCACTGCCCTAAAAATCCTGTATGTCCCCCCTCCACCACCAAACCTTGGAAACCACTGATGTTTATGGTCTCGGTAGATTGGCTTTTTCCATAACTTCATGTAGTTTGAATCATCTAATATGCAGCCTTTTCAGGCTTTTCACTTAGTAATATGCATTTAAGGTTCCTCCATGTCTTTATGGCTTGACAACTCATTTCTTTTTGGTCTGAATAGCATTCTTTTGTCTGGATGTACCATAGTTTATTTATTCAGTCACTTAGTGAAGGATATTTTGGTTACTTCCAAGTTTTAGCAATTATGAATAAAGCTGCTATAAATATCTGTGTGCAGGTTTTTTTGTTGATGATAGTTTTTAGCTCCTTTGGGAATATACCAAGCAGCAAGATTTCTGGACCATATGGTAAGAGAATGACCATATGTCATTAGTTTTGTAAAAAGCTGCCAAACTGTCTTCCAAAGTGGCTATACCATACCATTTTTCATTCCCATCAGCAATGAAGAAGACTTTCTGTTACTCCACAACCCCACCAGCACTGGTGATGTTAGTGTTCTGGATTTTAGCCAACTTTAAACATTTTATTGTTTTAATTTGTATTTCCCTGATGATATGATGTGGAGCATCTTTTTACATGTTTATTTGCCAGCTGTATATCTTCTTAGTGAGGTGTATGTAATGTCTTTGGCCCCCCTTTTAGATGGGTGTTTGTTTTCTTATTGCTGAGTTGTAAAAGTTTATTTTTCTAATTTTTTTAAAAGCATTTTATCAGATGTGTCTTTTGAAAATGTTTTCTTTTGTTTGGCTTATATTTTAATTCTAGTTTTTATAGTTTTGCGCTTTCCATTTAGTTCTGTGATCTATTTTGAGTTCCTAAGTCATTTGGATACTTTTACTTCAGAGAAAATGCTAAAAAGTTTTTCCCCCAAACCTTTCAGCCTGCAGACCCTGCAGCTCTGTACTGCCCCTTTTAGGTAGCTAGTGGGTTTGCCACATTTGTAAATACAATTTAGTCTTTAGTTAAATTTGAGATTATCAGTCTATTTTTTAATGTCTTTCACTGTTTTCCAGGAGTAGCTATCCAGATCACAAGGAAAGGGAGGAGCCTGATGAGATTGAGGGGTTGCCCTCAGAAAAGACCTTGGATTATGATGATGAAACCATGGAGCTGATTCTACCTTCTGGTATGTGCATTTGTCAAAAATTAATAGTTTAATGCCATTGAGATTATTGGACAGACATGTTTCCGTCAATTGTTTTTCATAATGAGGGAAAATTTTCTGAACATAAAACTTCAAATGCCTGTTTGTGTTCTCAGGTATGTGGTACCCTCTGAAGATTTGCCACAAAACTCTGTGTTGGCTGTTTTGTTTAAATTGGCTCACTGTTTTTGCTTCCTTCTGTTCTGTTTGGTCACAGTGCTTTGTCAGTCATTTCTTTTCAAATATGTAGACCTGTTCTATTCTGTTTGTCAACCTTTTTGGCCCAATTTAGATTTGTCTTGTTAGTCTTGACCTTACTCTTAATCTTTGAATTGATTCCTGTTTCCTTCTATTGCTCAGACTTCTAAATGGTGGTTTGACATGGTGTATCTGATTGACAGTGCCCAGGTTGCCTGTTTCTGATAGTGGGGAGGCTTCCTGTTTGAATTCTGTCCTGTACTGTGGGGAACAATATTCGTAATGGTGGTAATTTAACCCAGGTATGTAAAGATGAAGAAAGGCCACGAATATGAGAAGCACTCACTATTATTTACAATGTTATGATTAGCTGATGAGAATAGGAGAAACTACTGGAGACACATGAGAAAAGGGAAATGGAGTGGTAGAGATAATAGGATCCTAAAAGTGCCTGGTATTTCCTGAGCAGTTGGCAGGTTCAGGCAGATGTATTATTTTATCTTTACAAGCCTCAGGTGCTTAGAATCATTTGCCTGCAGTACTGGGAGCAGATTGCTCTGTCTCTATATCATTAGGCAGGGCGGCATGAGGTGAGCTGAAAGTCCAATATCTCTGGATTTCCTTGCTCACAGCTGCAGGTCACTTACTGAGTCAGGTTATTTTTTTTAAGTATTGGCTAATAAACCTTAGAATAGCTCTGTGACGTAGACTTAGAAGTAGTGAGGTGACTGGTGTTAAGAGTGCTCCGAAGTACTATACTATTAGGTAGTCTCAGGAAAGACCCAACCAACAGGCAAGTACTACCTTATTCCAAAGGTTCCTAACTAGGCCATGCATTCCCCCGTCCCCTGTGGAAAGGGTTGACATGGATGTTAGCATGAAGCTAATTTGAGAAGGATTCTAATGTGAAGAGCTTAGGGATATTTTATCCACCACACTTAGTAGATTTGGCTTTAATCTGGTTTCAAAAACAGATCAAATAGCTGTGACAGAGTGCAGCCAGTAGAGGGCACTGTGGGCATTATTTTGAAAACTGGTTTGGCTCTGTGGTTGAGGTCTTTGCTCTTTAGTTGGTATGAAAAGCACATCACATCTAGTTAGCTACAGACTAGACAGATGAAACTGGTGGATCCATCATAGAGATACATAGGTAATTTTAGAAAAATTACTGTTGGAGATATTTTTCCCCCCACAATCTAATGTCATTGTTAGGCTATTTGTTAGGTAGGAGCGAACAATTCTGAAAGTGGTTTTTTCTGTGGTGACAGATAGATGGACAGGTTGTGACTTCACCATAACTCAGACATAACTTATATGTTACATAATGGGCAGTCACAGTGTGTTCTAAACGTACTTTCCCTTGATGAGGGCCTTCAAGTTTAGCTGTTCTAGCACCTTATACTTGGTGCTTAATGTCAGGTGCTCACTGTCATTGACACAGTGCAGGGGTGGCTCTAAACAACACTGCATGTTTTAATTGCTCCTAGTTGTCAGAGACCTAGGCATTGAGTAATGAAACCTCTTCAAGGATGTTTTTAAAAGGCAAACTTCAATAACTGTGTATTTCCAAATGCTGATTAAGATGATAAATATATTTATTTATTATATACTAATGACCAACATTGTCATTTAATGATTTTGAGGTAGTCATCATTATAAACCTAGAGCATTCTGACCTATATATATTATATAAAGAAAATCACAATGAACAATGCTGGGTTTCCTGCTAGAGTCTCCATTTCAGTTGAGTTTGTATCCATCAACTGCGTCTTTCTTATTTTTTGTGGTCTAGGAGCTTTGTTAACTCTTAAGCTGCCAGAGCAGTCAGGTACAGGGAAACATGTTTTCTTCTATATTGGTATTCAAAGACCATATCATCTTTGATGTGGATGTTTCCTTTTGTCATTTCTTGAGTCTGATGACAAAACAATCAACTGGAAGTAACTACTTTTCCATACCTGTGTAGCAAATACACAATTTTCAGGTAGCTTGCCAGGTAGAGGGATTTAAAATAACATAGCCTGACAGAATTTTTTTTTTTTTTTATCCTCATCTGAGGACATTTTTCCATTTTTTGTACAGATAGAGTGGGAGGGAGAGAGGGAGAGAGAGAAAAACATCGATGCGAAAGGGACACATCGAGTGGCTGCCACCCGCACGACCAACCAGAGCCAGGGACAAACTGCAATCGAGGTACATGCCCTTAGCGGGAACTGAACCCGGGTCTCTCTGGACCGCAGGTGGACGCTCTAACCGCTGAGCCAAGCCGGCCAGGGCCAGAATTTTTTTATGTAAATTAAAAAGGCCTCAATCCTAAAAGCAAGTACAGCCATCTGCCATATTAATAATATTCTGTTCGTGGTCTTTCTACACAGGATTCTAAAAGAAATGGTTTTATATATGTAAGTGTCAAACTTTTCTTGAAGCTCTCCACATGGTTCTGTCTAGCCATATTTCCTTTATCATTTTCAGCAGAAATAGCTATTTTATGCCTTTTGCATAGCTGTTGTTAAATTTCTACATGTTTATGTCTGTCTGGAAAGGTGTTTGATTGCTTATTTCCTAATTAATATTATTGTGAAAACAACTTGTATTGAGTAAGCTCTTAGGTGATCACGTTTTGAGCACCAGTGCTCTGATGGAGTCTAGTTAGTCAGCACAGAGGCCTGCCCCTCCCTTTCACCTGCTGTGACGCTAAAACACAGGGGTCAGCACTTTTCCTGTAAAGAATCAGTCAATAGAAATTCACTTCTGAAAGCATGATTGACTTGCATAATTTTACCAGATCCTTCTAAATAGGCAAACGCCGTAGAGAGAATTCAGCTTAATCATCCTTTAAAATCCTAGTTCACCTGGTAATTTCCATCATTTAGAAAGCAATAGGGCAATGTTTCTCAACCCAGGCCTTATTGACATTTTGGGCCAGATAATTCTTTGATGTGGAGGGTTATCCTGTGCATTGCATGATATTTAGCTTTTCCTTGACCTCTGTCCACTAGATGCCTTATCCGTCCTCTAGCTGCAACAATAAAAATATCTCCAGTCATTGCCAACTGCCTGTTTGAGAATCACTGCTATGGAGAACCTAAGCAAAGGAAAGGGGGATTGATTTCTGTTCTAGACCCAAACTGTGACTTGTAGGCCTAAACCTCAAGACTAATCTTCTTTATCTTCTTTCTATTACAAAAAAAAAAGTTAAAATCCCTTACCTCCTAGGGTCCTGTTATCTGTATTAGTAGGTGTTGCTACATGAATTTCTAGGGAGGCATAGTGTCTATAAGTATAATAGCTTAGTGTTTCACTTAGAAGTGACTTGCCATTCTTTTTTTTATTTATTTTTTTAAATCTTCACCCAAGGATATTTTTCTATTTATATTCAGATAGAGTGGGAGGGAGGGAGAAGGAGAGAAAGGGGGGGGGGGAGGAGAGAGAGAAACATCGACTTGAGAGGGACACATCGACTGATTACCTCCCGCACGACCCCGACCAAGGCCGGGAACAAACCACAAACGAAGTGCGGGCCAATGCTCTAACCACTGAGCAAAACCGGCCAGGGCACCATTCTTTTTTTTTAAAAAATCTCTCTGCTTTTTGGTTTTCTATCAGTTTTTAATATGTTGCTTCATCTTTTTTTCATCAGATAGAGTACTGTTTCTGCTGGCATACCCATTTTCCAGCTTGATGCCCTGTAGAGTCTGATTTGGAAAGCCCTTGCTTTATAGGTCTGTCTTGGAAATCTATCCAACTCTGTTTAAATATTACTCTTTTGAAAAACAGGTGCCAGAGTGGGTCATCGCTCACTGATGAGATACTACAAACAGCGATTTGGCTTGTCAAGAGCTGTGGCAGTTGCCAAGAATCAGAAGGCTGTGGGCCGGGTACTCCAGCAGTACAGAGCCCTGGGATGGACGGGCAGCACAGGTATGTTGGTGTGGACAGCCATAGACCAGCCCACACACTCGTTTTACAACAGCAGCCTGGGGAGAAGTTGCTTCCATTTATGTGGTCTTTGTGAATCTTCTCTAGAGGAGACAACCTCTTGGCTCTTTTGCTTCCTTTACTACTTGATTTGTTTATGCAGTAAGCCCAAAGTTCTATGACTTAAAAACTTCACATTCCTGTCACAGCAACTTTCTAAAACTGCATATACACCATTCACTTTTTCAGAAGATAATAATTACCACAAAGAGCATTTAGTGATCACCCAAGGTTGAAATTATCCTGAAAATTATGCAGAATAATTAAGTAGTATCTTTGTGGCAAAAGTAGAGTCCTATCTGATATACTTGTAGGTTCTTATATGATAAGCACGAGTAATTTATTTCACTTACACCTCTTTGTCCTCATTTATAAAATGGTGATATAACAATAGAACCTACCTCAGAATTATGTGGGCTGGATGTCTTAATGCACGTGTGGTATAGTACATGTGCACAATCAAGGCTAGCTGTCACTTTTGTAACTTTACCATAAAAATGTAGTAAGAGTCATAGGAATAAAGTGGGCCACTAAAATTGTTAGTCTTTAACATGTCGTTGTTATGAAATTATTTAAAGTTATTCTAATGTGTCTGCTGCATGAAGCTCTGTCCTTAGCTATTCTGGGAAAACATCAGTCCACTAGAGGTCTGGAGACAAGAGTAGAGCTCTTTTTGAATGGCCGGGAAGACTGTCCAAGTAAAATCTATTTTTAGCGCCACTGTGTTTATGTACATTTAGTTTCCTTCACTGTGGCCACCTGTGAGCTTTTATTAGGTCAGAACAGATGAAGTACAGGGAGCAGTAGTAGCAAAAAGGTTGTCATACAGTCCAGCTTCTGCTGGTCCTCAGGTAAGGAGGACACCTGTGCAGGAGATGAGCACTCAATCTGAAGTGCATCTGCTTGGTGGCATTGTGACTTGGGGCCACTTAAATCTAGCAGACTGACATTATCTTACACTTCTCGACTATCTCACTCGATATGTATTCTCTGCTTCTCTCTGTCTGCTTAGATCAATGGGACTTTACCTTTTGGGCTTTAGACCCTTTCTAGATGATGAAAACTACTAAAGAGGTTCATCCCAGAGAGAAATATATATAGAGAGAGAGGAGTTCTGGTATGCAGTTCCATGGCACACCCAAATCCCTGGCCCACTGCATAGATATTCCAAATTAGCAACTTTTCTCTAAATTTAAGAACCCCAACTAAGTTTGAGATTCTCTGCAAAGATTGGGTTTTCCCTGATTACAAATAACAGGCATGTGCCTCATTTCTTATATTCTTTCCAACCACAGGAGCAGCTCTTATGAACAAGCGAGACATGCAGTATGTCCAAAGGATGAAATCTAAATGGTTGCTGAAGACAGGAATGAAGAACAATGCCACCAAGCAGATGCACTTTAGGGCCCAAGTGATGTTCTGAGGGTCTGCTGCAGATTGAGTCATCGTCTCCTGCACAGGTGTCCTCCTTGCCTGAGGACCAGCAGAAGCCTTTTTGCTGCTACTTCTCCTTGTACTTCATCTAATAAAAAGCAGAATTATATTGGCTTTCAAATGTTATTTCTGGACAAGGTTTAAAGGTTATGTTTTCACAAAATGAGCAGTGTGTCTCCTGGACTCAGAACTTGCACTACTGCTGGGCAGTGTCTTTATTGCCTCAGCTTTTATCTGATTTATGGCTGTCAGAGTAATATGGGAAACTCAGGAGTGACTCGTTCGTTCCAAAGTATAACTTTCAGAAGAATAACATACCAGATTTGGAACCTAGTAAGGGAGCTTTGTTGAATGTCATTCATTTGAGTGTATCGTGGCTCATGAGGTGGTGAAAGTCTCCGGGCACATTCATTAAATCCAGCCAAGGTGAAGAGCATGCCAATGGCTTGCTGTAAAGGTTCTTTATTTCTAAATGTGGACACACAAGAATGACGGTGCTGTGCACTGTTTCCAGCGCCGCCTTTACTTGAGCAGTTTGCTTAAAAGGAAGTAAATGTAAAGTGTTTAGATCTCATTTTAGAAACAGATTACCTCCGGGTGAAATCTCTGAAGAGATTTTCAGTTTAGGTGGTGAGAGAAAACTGATATATTGGAAATGAAGTTAAACAAGTTCAAATCCATTGAGCTACCTGTGTGACTGGAAACTGACTCTTTTTTTTCAATTGGTAAAATGAGGTGTTTATTACCTCACAGGTTGTTGGGGTTAAATAAATCTGCTAGAGGACTCATCATTCATTCCGTCCTTAGCATGAAGTGAGTGCCAAAGTTCTCCCTGATTGACCGAAGTGGGCCACACCGGATGGCCCATGTCTAGCATGTGTTCAGCGGCCCTCGTTGGCTAGATACATGGCTTTTCTTTAATCTTGGGGTGCAGTTAACTGTTTTCTCTGTACACCAGTCCATTATCATCCATAGTGGAGGGCTCCCTGGCTTTAATTTTGCTCCTTCATCCTGTTTTCTAACATCCTCCTTGCACAAGTGTCTGCCTTCAATATTTGACGTGTAAATCTGTATCCTGGGAAAATGAGACAGTGCTTCCCACAAGTTACATTTTTGATTAACTCTTACTTGAGTGTACACGATCCTATGCTGTGGCTGTCAATTTTGTTTTTCATTCACTCAACATAATAAGCTTCATTGCTTCTGACCCTGTGAGGTGCCCTTCGTGTGTGTCCCCTACAAGGTGCTGACCTCTCCTGGAGCTGATGCCTGCTTGTCTCCAGCCCGCCGTTACCACACCAGCTCAGCACTAGACTGCCTTGTTTGTATCCATACCCTTTTAATTTTGAGCATTTTTACCTGTGGGGAAAATGAGCATAGTATGTTTGCTGACCTATAAAATACTCCTACCTTTATTTAATTTCTACTTCTTCCAGACTTCAGGAGATACTTTCTTAGTTCTTTCTGATTCTGAGTTTGTGAAGCAATCCACTATCTCATCTCTGCCTACATCACAATTTTATGAAATTTAGGGATTTTCTTTTCTTTTTTTTTTTTTACCTTTCTGGAGTAAAGTTCTATTGGGAGGGACGGCAAAGAAAAGAGATACATCGTCTCCTTAATAGCTGAATGAATCAGACAAGAAACATGGCAAGTGTACTTATTTTGGGGGGACTTCTATGTGGAATAGGAAAATATGGAAATGTCCGTTAGTTTATTTCCTAGTCATTCTCTTCTTGGAAGTTTTTCTTTCCCCTGGGCACACTATTTCCACCCTCTGTCTTCTGCAGTTAGACCCCTTGGGCTCCTGGTCCATTCCCACACGGTGACTTGCTACCATTCCCTCTCACAGCCACATGTTCTTTTCCTGGTATCTCATGCATCACGAGAAGGAGGTGGAACCTGCCAAACAAAGGTACAAGCTTAAGACCTAGGGAATGCTGGTATCCTTAACATCACGCTTGATCAATTTTAATTTCCCTGCTTACAATATATTGTTGATGTAGTTCTTTTGTTTCTCCAAATTTTTATTCACAATTCTTTGATTAAATCTAAAATGAATCCAAATTAACCCCAAATTAACTCTTTTTGCTAAATACAAATTTGTAAGCCGATCCCTATGGATATTTCCACTCATTGCCTGGTGTCAGCTAATCCACATTTACAGTGGATACCAGAGTAGTGGTACTAAAGATTCTTTGTCAGTACTGAGTCGGCACTGGCTGCTGCCACTAGCTGACCATGACTGTGAAATCTTTTCTCCTGGAAGTAATCTCAGACCACATGGCCCTTGCAAGTTTATGTGTCTGTCTTCAGCTTGAAACATCAAGACTGGGATCAACATTAATTGTCATGATAGCACAACTTTGTGAATCTTCTAAAAGCCAATGAATTGTACACTCTAAATGTGAGAAGTGTATGGTATATTAATTATATCTCAGTAAGGTTGTTCTCGTATTTTGTTTGTTTTGTTTTTTTAAAGACTGGGATTAAAAGTGAGAGAACAGAATCTATTCCCTCTCTGTGCATGTTACTGAAGCCCCTGGCAGCTGCTTGCACCGTGTCTGCAGGCTGGATATAGGCGTGATCTATTCTTCTGGTTTTGCTGGGTGTGAATTTGTGTTTTAGTGAGTATAAGGTGCTTTTATGCACCATGTTTTTCCTCCACTGTGAGGTGTAGGTAGCATTCTTATTTTACAGATAAGGAAATAGACTCAAGGAAGGTCAGTAACTCTTTTAAGGAGACAAAAGGAAGCCAGAGATGGTGGTTTCTGGTCCAGCATTATTAATATTGGATGCACTGATACAGAATCCTGGGCATCATCTGTCTTACGGAGCACACCAGTGGGCTGTAAGCGTTTACTCAAGTCCATGAAATTTGCAGCAGCTCTGAAAGAATCTTGTTCTAAATCTAGAAACACGTGGAATTTACTGTTTACATTAATGTTACACATGATCCACACATGAATAACAAGTGTTACACACATGAAAGGAAATATCACCTCTTCTTGTCTCGAACAGGAGTGAATTCTGCCCCTCACCAATTTTGGTTATTTTTGGATTCATAATTGTTAAGGTGCTCTCCTCCACCTTTGTTACTTAAACTCTTAAGACCCCACTGGACAGTATTAATTTGAAATTCACAATAATTCCTATGCAGGAGACCATCTGTGTTGCCAACTCGGTGTGCAGACTTTTTTGGCAAGATAGTCTGTCAGTCTAGAGATAATTTATAAATGCTTTGAAGAATATACATTTCATTTAGCCTCATTTGCAATCACGTTGTTTACGACATCAAAATTGATGGAGATTAGGCAGATTTGGTCAGCTTGTTAATACTGCTGCAAACATTTGAATGTTTGAGTAATAATTTGTTGATCATGTGGGCTGACTCTGGGTGTTCAGGTTGGTATGCTGTGCTCTGTGGTACACATCAGGAACTGACAGGCAGGGAGAGAACTGTTTCTCCTCCTAGCAGTACATGCTGTTCATGACTGTTCTGCAAGGTCCAACTCTTTCAACTCCTTCAGAAAACCTTTTAGTATAAACTTACTGCTGAGTAAATAATTTGTTGATTACGTGGGCTGAATCTGGATGCATTTTTTCTCTTTTTTTTTTTAATGTTTATTTATTTTAGAGAGAGAGGAAGGAGAGAGAGAGAGAGAGAGAGAGAGAGAGAGAAATATCGATGAGCGAGAACATCGATTGGCCGCCTGCTGCATGCCCCCCACTGGGGATTGGGCCCACAACCGGGGCATGTGACCTGACCAGGAATCAAACTGGCGACCTCTTGGTACATGGGTCAACGCTCAACCACTGAGCCACACCGGCCGGGCTGGATCCATTTCTTTTGAGGAAAGAATGCCATTGTATTTAGCATATACCTAAAATTATAGAAAAATCATTAAAACGATATTGAAAACAACAAATCTGCTTCCTAAATCTTTAATGTCGATTTCACTGCATATGACCACTAAATCCTGAATTCAAGGCATTTGTTATATTACTCCTTTACCTTTTATTATTAATCACCACATTTGGTATTTTATCCTCAAGTACCATTTTCACCTGGAGTAATGTGTGTTAGACATGTTGCTCAGCCCAAGCTCACCCGTGTTCTAACATAGCATCTGCCAATGTGGAAAATAAGACGACTTACAAAGAAGAGGGATTTGAGTTTTTTTCTGAAGAGACTTTTATAATGCTTAGTGCCAGATAATGAGAATATTAAATTGACAATAAATGGAAACTATTATATAACATATATGCTTGAAGCGTGACTCTCCTTCCAAGACATCTTTGCTCTTTCTAATTCAAGTGAGTAAACTCTGTTTGGACAACTTGGTAGTATATATGTTTTATTCATCTTAAAACTTGGGGGAATTTTTTCTGGAAATAAACACAAAAATATATAGAATGTAGAAATTGGTAACTATAAAGCAAAAACAAACAGCTTACGTGCCAGATGTTGTTTAGTCCTCAGAACAACTCTGAAGTAGGCAATACTTCCATTTATCCAGGTGGGGAAACTGAGGCATAAAGAAGGCTCTAGAGCTAGTAAGTAGCTATGTCGGGCTATGAATCTAGGTAGTCACCTCCAGAATCCGCATTCTTGACCACCACATGAGGGGTTCTTCAATCTTTCCATCTGGGCCCCCCTTTACACTCTTTAAAGGTACTGATGACCCTGAAGACCTTTTGTTTTTGTTAGTTGCATCTGTCAACATACACCGTATTGGAAATGAAGGTTGAGAACATTTTAAAATGTTAATTTGTTTAAAAATAATAACATTGCATGTTAACATTAATATATTTTTATGAAAAATAACCATATGTTCTTTTTAAAAATCTGTAATGAGAAAAATGAACAGGTTTTACAGTTTTGCAATTATCTTTCACATCCAGCTGCACAAAAGACAACTGGATCGTTCTATCTGCTTGCTCACGTGTCAGATAGATACTGGAAACACCACCGTAATTTAATGGACGGGAGAACAAGGGTAAAAAGTTAATGTTATTATAAAATAGTTTTGACTTGGAAAACCCCTGAAAGGGTTTTTGGACACCCAGGGGTTCCCAGATCACACTTTGAGAACCACTGCATTACACTTAACTGCCCCTCATTGTACAGGATAAGTGTCTTGGCTGAATATGAAGGGCTTCTTAAAAAACACTGTTTCCTCGAGTAAATCACAGCCTGGTGCGTGGAAGGAGCAGCGGCTGTGTGGTGAGAGACTGTGTGATGGGTGCCGTCTTGGTTCCGCCCTGGTAATTCTTGACCTTTGCTAAGTTGCCTTGTTTCTGTCTGTCTCAGATTCCTCATCTAAAACAGGGCTAGTTACAAATCCCTTGCAGTGACATTGTAGGAATTCAAAAATAGGAGGCGAGGTGCCTAACAGGTGCTGACACACACAGGACAGGATGCCTGATCCAGGGGCAGCTCCTATCCCAGATCCGCCAGTGACAGCCAGGGAAGGGAGGAGAAAGGTCATGTTTTGGCAAAAAGGGGAGGAAAAGAGAGCCAACAGGGCCGACCCATAGACATTTATCTGAGAACTAGATAGATGTAGCAAGTCAGATGTGTTCAGAGATACAGCAATTTGGGGTTTTAAAAAGTTAATACTGTGCCTATACTGTATATAGTACCCTCCATGGGACCTAGAGGATCAGGTATTAATCAAACACATTCCTCTTTCTGGAGAAACCTATCCCACTCACACCAAGCTTAGAAATAGCCTTGAGTCTGTGCAGGCCAGGTTCGGATACCAAATGATTACAAACAACCTTTCTGTGTTCAGGGCTCTGGGCCCTTTTGGACAATGGGTAAGGGATTGTAGGTCCTACCAAATGCTACTGTGCTGGCACCAAGCTAGGGATGTGCCCGTGCAATTTCATTCAGTTCCCTCAACTTCATGAGCAAGGAGCAGACATCTCAGGATCCAGAAATATCTTGGCTAGCTTTTGCCTTTCAACCAGCTTTATAGCATCCCTGGGCTAGAGCAGTGGCTTCTGATTTCCTTTCTTTGGCTCTTACTTACAAATGAAAGTCCAAACATTTATTACATGTGGGTGGGGAGAGGGAATTAGACATGTGGAGTGTGTGTGTGTTTCACAATGGACCCAATAATCTGTTTCCGTAGTGTAGTGGTTGTCACATTCACTTAACAAAATGAACCCAATAACAAATGTTTTTTTGTTTGTTTTTTAAACAGATGTTTTAATGAATGCATAGAAAGTTTGTCTTCAGTTTTTTTTGGAAGTCCATCCAGACAGGAGTTTTAATTTTCTGAAGAATTAAGAAAGGTGAGATGATATATTTGAGATACCAATAAAATCAATTACCCACTGCATTCACAGGGATGGAAATTAAATGCATTTAAAAATCTGTAAACAAGAGCTCAAACTGATGGTTTCATGCTCATAATCTCCATTTTACAGAATTTCACAGACAAATGAACCCTGAATTTGTTTGAAGATAAAAGTCCTGCTCTGCATTAATGTTGGACAATGAAAGGATTGCAGGTACCTGGAAGTAAACTTCTGAAGAATTTTTCAGTTTGAAATGACACAGGCTTATGACAAGGCTTGTGGATCTTGAGAAGCCACTTTAGCTACGTTTTTTTTTTTTTTTTTTTTTTTTGTGTGTGTGGGATTTAAAATGATTTGTAGCTACAAAGATAAAAGCATTTAAAACAATTTTTCTGCTTCTACCTACACTATTATTTTGAATTTAGGGGACGTAAGTTACATTTATTTGGACACCTAAATATGCCACATATTACTAGGCACTTTATTTTGTTGAGTCCAACTTAAATACATATGTAGTAGAGTTTTCAATTCAGCATCATGGTATTAAAATGTCCCCTTCTCAGGCATGCCAAAAAGCAGCAAACATTGTTTGTTAAAAGGCAGGGAGGTAGAAAGAGGAACTTTTTATCATATGGATCTTTAGTTTACTAGAAATGGCTGCGGCAGTGAGTTGTAAGACTTGGCTTTGTCCTTTGATTTACCTTCCTTTCCTTCCTTTCTTTTCTTCCTCCCTCTGACTACTTTCCTCTCTTACATGTTCTCTTTCTCTTTTCCTCCCTTCCTTTCTCCCTCCTTTTTCCCTTTTTCTTTTTTACTTTCTTCCTTCCTCCCTCCTTCCTCCCTTTCCTTCTTCCTCCCTCTTCTTCTTCGTCTCTCTCTCTTTCACCTGTCAAAAGTGGATTTTAATGTTTCTATAGACAATAAACCACTGCTACTTTATTGCCTTCATTATCTGGAATTACTTTGGGAACAACAATTACAATCACAATTAGCTGAACCCAGATCTCCGATCCCCAGTAACGGGGTGGGATAGTAAAAACCAGGCTCATGGATACCTATCTGATCTTCATTTCATGGACACATGAACTCAGCTACTCAATATGTACCTGTATGTACCCAGATCCGCCCTCCAGGACTGAGCCCCTCATTCCCCCAGCTTCCAGGAGTGTTGGCTTTTGATGCCTCACACATGAGTGCCTCTGTAGGAATGGCCCTTAGTAGAGGGAAGCTGCCCTGCCTAAGGCCACGACCCCTCTGCAGGGGCAACCTGCATTCAGTGGCTGCCCCTCATCTTAATTAGGTCTACTCTGCAGGCTTTGCCAGATCCAGAACTCCCCATGGGTTGCCTACAGCCTTTATTACAACTGTATCTTTGTTCAACTCCCAATGGACAATCATTTTTCTCTTCTGTGTAGGTATCAATCTTGAATGCACTCCCCAATAAAAGTCCTGCTTGTAAATCTCCACCTCTGTTTGTTTTTCTGGGAAGCATAACCAAAACTATTGGTGCCAGGAATGGTCCATGGAAGGAGGCTCTTAAGTGAGGTCTGGAACTGGGTCACCAGCTGGCCTGTGGTCGATGTGGACACCATCACTCCAGGTGGGTGGAGCGCTGGTAGCCTTGGGCATGCCATAGTCCTGAAATTTCTCAAACTTTCACTGTGGTGGGTGCAGGGGCTGGGTATTTGAGAGGTTCAAGGAAAGCGGTAATTTCAAATACAATAAGTCCTCAATGTGGTCAGTAGTTTCTTGGAAACTGACTTGAAGCAAAACAACATATAATGAATCAAAACCAATTTTACCATAGGCTAATTGATATAAACAAGAGTTAAGTTCCTACCTCATCTTATAGTCACACAAACATCACCAAACTTCCAAACAAAGATCCCAAACACTTCTAATATTAAACTTTGAAATAAATGTGAGCTAAATGTACATTTCAGAAAGATTAATAAAAACAAGATAGATAATTATATTTTCCAACCTAATGATTTCAGTTCTGGTCCGCCACCTTTCATACAGTCAATACTGTAACAATGGTGGTCCCCATCATGCCCTCATTTAACTCACCGTTCTGCCCCCATCAAAACCAGGGATCCTGATAATCTAGAGCAGACTGTTCTAAAGCCAACTAATTCCCTAATGTATCTATTGCTGCTACTGAATATCCAACCTGCCAGCAACAAAAACCAACACTGAGGCCCAATACAACATCCTTTCCTAAGGAGAGCAGCCAGTTACTTGTTAGTAACTTGGCTACATTAGATCCCTTTCAATCTGGAAGTGACCATGATGGATCTTGACTGGAATTGGCACATATTCAAGAAGTGGCTTTGCTTTTTCTGCCCATAGGGACTCAGCCACCACCACCATTCATGAGCTTATATATTATTTGATAAACTGACATGGGATCCTACATAATGTAACCCTGGACCAGATATTCCACTATAATAGCAAAGGAAGAGAAACAATGGGATATATGACCATGGGACCCACTGGATTCCACCCATACTATACCACACACCCAGGAGCTGCCTGTCCAACAGAGCTTTTTGAAACCACAGCTCAGGTGACCACCTGGAGATGATACCCTGTGAAGATGCAGTGGCATTAAATCAATGCCCATTATATAATGCAGTGTTCCCAAGAGGTGAAGTTGATGGGTCCATTAAACAAGAATTGGAAGTAGGCCTGGCCCCATTTACATTACTCCCAATGGCGTGCTTGCGAAATTTGTGCTTCCTTATGATGGCACACTGAGTCTCTTAGGTCCTGGTCCTCAGATAGACTATGCTTCTATCAGGGTAAACAGCAAGGATTCCATTAAGTTTGAAAGTACAGCTGCTACCTAGTTGCAGCCACATTTCCCAGGGTTATCAGATTTTTGATAGTAAACGAGCAAGTACAGTAGCAATGGCTGGAACTTGGCCATTTACCACCACAACCATGTCTTCATGGTGACCTAGGGTTTAGAGAACTCAGGAATGAGAATCTGGGTCACCCCACCATGTAAGCAACCCAGACTAGCAAGAGTGTTATCTGAGGGTGTGGGGAACCCAGAAAGGGAAGGAAGAGAGGAGATCATGATCATGACTATAGTTTATCCCAAAACCTTTCTCTTATAAGCTTCCTCAGAAAAAGAGATAATTTAGAATCATATGAAGCTAGTTTCAGATGGGATGAAAGTATATGAAGGTATTAGATCTGAGAGCTCAGGGGGTGGACTGTAATGAATGGGCATTTTAGTCCTTAGAGCTCCCAGTCAGGACCAAGCATTCATTTCCCAAGCAGTCAGAGAGCTGGCTATGACTCCTGCAGAGGAACTCATCAGTGAGTCCTACCCAGCAATGGCCCAGGGTTACAGTTCATCACCAGTGGCATTCAGAGATGGACTTACGTGAAGATAGGAAGGCTTGGCACCCTTGCTTCAATGAGAAAACTCTGAAAGGGCCATTTCCCTTTCCCTGTGGTATTGGCTAAGAACTCTTGGCAACTGCATCACAGCTCAGCTTCTCCTTGTGCCCATTCCGCTCCTCCTCCACTCACAGGTGTGTTTCTGAGAGCACTTCCCAATAAAGCCTCTCCATCTCAGAGTCTAGTTTTCGGGAACGTTACCTAAGCGTGGGCTCCGGTTTAAGCATCTTATAAATGCCTTTATTCTCCCAGTGGTTGTAATTCTGGGGTTAGAAACAAACTAATGAGTAAAAGTAGATAATATTTCCCCTTATAAGTTGAAAATGAAAATGTTCAGGAGAAAACACTTTGCCGAACACAAAGGGCTTTGTTTCTATGGGAAGGCTCTCCAAATAGCATCTTTCCTTCAGCGAGCCTTTGTATTTCAACGATTTATCTTTCAATCAAGTTCTAATCCATTGTTTAGATAGATGTTTCTGAAGTATTTTGAAAATGTAGTGTGTTTTTAAAATTAGATCCCCAGCTGTCATTACACGGAATGTGTGTGGGCATATGGTGAATGGACTTACTTTAATCCCAGTGCTGTTGCCTGCTTCACTCTGTCCGTGGGACAGCAGGGCTGTCCTGAGTGTTCTTTTCTCAGTCTACTCATAATTCTGTTTCACTTTGTTCTTTACAGCATCAGATTTTTGAGAGGAAAAAAACCCCAGCACTTTAACCTTTTAAAGAAGATCACAGGCAATTGATTTGCAGGATTTATGTTCTCTTTCTATCTCCAAATTATTTCTTTGCGACAGGAAAGACATGTTCACTGAGCATATTATAGGTCTTTTAATTCACTGAATTTCTTTCTTAAATGGATAGTTTTCATGCTCTTTCTACTTAAATTGGCAGTAGTGTTTGGTACCAAAAAAAACATAGAAGATGATTTATCTTTTTTTAATCATCAATTTCAAAACTAGTCAGATAAAATGTGCAGTGTTTCATTTTACATATAGATAAGAAATCAGCAAAAAGCATATGGAGGAGGTTTTTCTCAGATTATTTATGGAATATTCTAAAACCACAAAAGTAGACAGACTATATAATGAACCTTCTTGTACCCATCACTCAGCTTCAGCCATTGTCAACACTTTGCAAGTCCTTTTTCATTTACCCATCTCTACCTCCTGCCCCTACCCATGACATACACACACACACTGAAACACATTTTTTTCTGGAATATTTGAAGAAATACCAGACGTTGTGTTATTTCCCCGATAAAGTACTTTATATACATTTAAGCAGTAACATTTTTAAAAAAATTACCACCTGGATATTATCATAGCTAACAAATAGTATCTTGAAATTCTAATACCAATCCACATTCAAAGGTCCCCAATAATCTCAAATTTGTTCTTTTCCACTTGCTTATTCAAATAATAAAAACCAATCAAGTCCATAAGCCCCTATCTCTTAAGTATTTTAGTCTGCATAGCTCCTCCTCCCTCTTATTCCATTGAATTTGTGGGAGAAATCCGATTATTTATCCTTTATGTGCCATATTCTAGAAGTGCACCATTGTTTTTCTGTGATGTGTGTAACTTGTGCCTCTGTACTCTGTATTTTCTATAAACATAGTTAGAGCTGAGGTTTGATTCAACTAAACTTCGAATGTTTTGTAGGTCATGATATTTCTTCTCCTGTGAATTTCCTCTTGAATCACATCAGGAGCTCATGCTGTCTGGGCGCCCCACTTTCGGAAATGTCAATAAGCAGCCCAGGTGATGTCAAGATGCTCTGTGAGTTTCTCATAAACCTTTCACCTGGGGCTGTAGCATTCACCGACAACCATGGCCTAGATCCAGTGTTTCACTGAGGATTGAAATGGCAACTTCCTCACTGCCATCCCTTCCGCATTAGTCAGCCATAACTCTTCCATAAGGAGGAATTTATCCTTTTCAATTATTAGGCTGCTCTGAAATACAATTTGTATAGAAAAGACAGGATAAATTCTTGATTCTTTCTACATATTTATCAACGTTTAGAGTAATGAGTTTGTACCCTAACAACCTGCAAGTTTTTAAAAAAAGTATCATTATGGATAGCATGAATTTTTAATATATGTAATATGTTAATTGAGTCTGATTATTATTCTTTTTGATAGTCATTTGGTGCCATTTTGACTGATGGGATCTCTTTCAAGTTGGCTGTCTCTTGATATGACCTATTTAATCTTTACTAGTTCCTTGCTTTTCTGCATTTCAAGATGTCCCAGTCTCATTTTGTATATTTCAGATTCCATATAGATTCCCAAAAGATGACTTACTGGGTCAAAAGAATTACTCTTTTTAAGGTGGTTGGACACAGTGGAAGAGAATGGATTTTGGAGGTGGGTTAGAGTCCTAGCTCTATTGTTTACTAGCTCTTGGGTCTTAGAAAAAGCTTTATGTCAAAAATGAGGACAATATAAGCCCCTAAAAGAAAAAGAACATTATTATCCTGGACAGTTTGGCTCAGCAATTAGAATGGCAGCCCAAGGACCAAAGAGTCTTGGGTTCAATTCTGGTCAAGGGCACATACCTTGGTTGTGGTTCGGTCCTTGGCCCCGGTTGGGGTCATGCGGGAGGCAACCAATTGATTTTTCTCTCTCTCCTCCTCCTTCTACTCTGTCTGAAAATAAATGGAAAAATGTTCTCAGGTGAGGATTTAAAAAAAGAAAAAGGACATTATAATAACATAGGCAATTATTTTATTATATGTTAGGTGGAAAAGCAAGATTCACAAATATATAAAAAATGCATAGAGAATCTATTGTGATCAAATATACTCACATGTTCATAGTTATGTCTTTTGCTGGTGGGACTCACATGTCATATTTCTCTTTTTTATGCTTCATACTGTATTTTTCCACATAATGTAGAATAAAAACAAATAAGATAATTGTATTAAAAGAAAAATAAGCCTCCACCACAAAAGCCTATAGTGTTGATTAAAATTCAATTGGGATATGATTCATCACATACTCTTTTTGTATCTCTCATGGCCCATTTAATCCTCTTGTCTTGTACCAGAATTTAATGCAAATATATAATAAAGAAAAATATTGATGTAACTGTACTCCAGCACCTGCTTCCTTTCTCTCTGCCACGTCATATTGATTTCAATAGACCAGGTCAAAGCTGAGTGTTTCCTGCTTTCAAGGATGACCTCTGAAGGCCTCAACTATTCTGCCTCTTTGCTCTCAGGGGACAGCCTCTAAATTCTGGGTTGACAGCCGAAGGCAGAACAGTAAAAACAGGAAGTAAAAGAAAATCTCCATTTGACATGCTTATAAATCAGTTTTCTCAGGGGACAGAATTGTTGGTGTTAGTGCTCATTGAAAATAATCTTATTGATCAGAAAACTAAACCAATTGGTTCTTTATTCACATAAGGATTCAGATGACTTGTCAAAGACGAATTAATCTTGTAATCGTGTAATCCTTTAATCCTTGCAAATGATAAAAAACTTTTGTGAAGGAAGTCTGCAGAGGTTTCTAATCTAGGATTAGTTTGATTTCCAGGAATGGTATTTTGATCCTGGAGGTGAGGATCATAATTTCCTCTTTTAAAATGGGCAATGAAATTCTATAGCCATTTGGAGTCTAACGGAGGGTGATAATCACAGATAATGTTTTTGTTTATATTTTATTCTATTTAAATATATTTTTTTCAAAAGGGAATTCTTAATTTTCATTTTAAAACAGTGTAGGCTAAATTTCCCATTGTGGAAACTTCACTCCTGTGGCCTGCACGATTAATCGTGAATAATGAATTGTCTTTGAGATGGCTATGTAAGAAGAGACATGTAAAATAGTGTCCTAGTAACTGAAAACAATTGTTTTTTCTCTTCACTTTTCTTTTCCTTCATTTTCCTCCTCTTCAATGAGCCAACTTGGATGCTGATCTGTGGACGAACCAAATCCAAGCATTTAACTTCAGGACCCAATGTTGTCCCTAAAAGTGCTGCTTCGTTCAACAACACATTTCTAGTCGGCTCTTGTTCCTGTAGTCTAACAGGTTCTCTGTTGGATGATGGAAACATATTGGTGTTGGAGACTTAGTGCCTGTTCATGAAGACCTTATAGTCTAGCTAGCTGGACTGGACATACACACACCGATAAGTAAGTGGTTAGCAGGGGTACACCAAGAGTGTTGTGGGCTATGTGATGTGTTATGACAGGAGCCTACCCTATGACAGTGTATTAGTTAGGGTTCTCCAGGTGAAGAACCAATGCATCTCTCTCTGTATTATCTCTATTTCTATCTCTCTCATTATTTTAAAGAATTGGCTCAAACAATTGTAGGAGGCTGGTAAGCCTGAAATCGGCAGGATAGGCAAGCAGGCTGGAGACCCAGGGAGGAGTTGATGTTGCAGTCTCGAGTCTGAAGGCAGTTCTGAGACAGAAATCCTTCTTCCTTGGAGGGATCTCAATCTTTTTTTTTTTTTTTTACAACCTCAACTGATTAAACAAGGCCCATCTAATTCATTCCTATGACACAAGTTTAATATTCAAAAAGGTATTTATACAGAGAATATAAATATTTATTTCACTCCTGACCTCAAGCCACCTCAAGTTTCTATCCAGAGGCAGTATCTATTACCAGACTGTTGGTTTCTTTGTAAGCATATTCTATGCATATATGAATAAATGAGTATAGATGCTTCTTAAAAATTTACTAATAAGACCTTACTTTTTTTTTCAGTTAACAAAGTATTTTTGAAGTTGTTCCATTTAAATTTAGTTAAATATGCCTTTATTTTTTATAACTACATAATGTTCCATTTTACAAATATACATAATTTATTTAGTCAGTTCCCCATCTAGATTGTTTCAAGTTTTATGTTTGTACAGAAATAGTGGCCATAAAAAGCCTTGTACACACATTTCCTCCCATTCTTTAGGATATATCCATAGAAGTAGAATTGCTAGGTAAATGGATATGGACATTTGAAATTTTGACATATTAGCAAATTTTCTTCCACAAAGGACTGCCAGTTAACACCACTACAACTGGCTATTTTCAGCTCCAATTTACAGAGGTACAAACATGACATCACAGGTGTTATTTCCAAGGATGGTGATGAATTGAGGCTGATCCTTTTTTTCTTCTTCATTTTTCTCACACCCCTGGTGACCAATCACCAGCATTTTGGAGTGGCTGCCTGGGTATAGCCTGAGGAAAGGGAACTCTCCCCCTGGAGACCTCTACCACAGAGCTTTACTTTATCACTTAGGCTTTGATCAAGGACCAACATACCTCAGAGATATTGTGGGTTCTATTCCAAACCACTGCAATAAAGCGAGTCATTATCCTTTTGCTGGAGGAGGGTCTTGCCTTCAATTTGTAAAAACTGCAACATCTGTGCAGTGCAATAAAGCTGAGTATAGTAAAATGAGGTATGCCTGTACAAGAACGTGGTCTCTTCTTGGTGATTTGCCCAAGGCCACACACCTCATAGGTTTCAGGAGTAGACTTGAACCCATACTCATGTTTTTGTTGGTTCCTGTGACCCTTAGGTTCATAGATTTGTGACCATGACTAAATGGGCTGATTCATTGGCGACATTTATGAGCTAGTTCATGCTCATCCTTTAGAGCTAGTTCATGCGCGTCATTTATGAGCTGGTTTATGTGTGTGTTTAGGAGAGTGCATGGTACAGAGTAAGCATTCAGTGAACATTACCTACTATCATTCTCTTGTTCCCATAGGAGGTTAGTGTGGATCGGGTGGGGTAGGAACTGGAGGGGACTAGCAGGCGTTTGGACATTGTTGGGCTGGGGGCTGAAGCACCAGTCAGCTAGGATGACCTCCCCGGTCCTTCCAGCTGTGTAAGTCACACAGCTCCAGCTTGAAGCAGCGTTTGAGTCATGGGGACAGATGAGCATTTTTCTTAATTGAGCAGGACCTAATGGGAGCTGTATTTCTTTGAATCTGCCCATTGGAAGAGAACAAACATTAATTACTTCTGGGCTGGAAAGGCCAGATACAATTTACTGAAGCAGAGGGCATCCTCCCCCGTCAGTCATAAAAGAGTGTGCAGAGGACCGGTTGCGCTTTCCCGCAGCGGAAGTCCATCACCGGCCGTGGTGTTAAATACAGACTGAAGGCCCCATTAACCGGCCTCTACGGGCAAAGCAATTAAATGTGGCCCTGCCCCCACAGCCATGCTCCAGCAGCTGCCGGTCGAGTCTTTCAAGGCTCAGCAACTTGTAGGATGACAGAGGAATAATAATGCATTGGTTTTCTTTGGGGACCCAGAGAAGGCCAAAGTGGGAGCTGGTCTCTTCTAATTAAAGCAAGATTCAAAAGGCATTGTCACCTGGCTTCCCAGGGAGGGGTAGGCTGGCTTTCCCCTGGAGGCACCTCCTGCCAGGTCCCTCTGCCCAAACAGCCTCTGTGGTCTGCTGATGGCCACAACTAGGCACATTTGCCACACCTGGTGGGAAACCCCGACTCCAGGGGATGGAATAGTAATTTGGCTTCTTCTTTTTAATAGTAAATGCAACCTACTATTTTATGGTTTCCATCTCCCATTCCACCAAATACCCTCTTTCCTACTCCAGCTTGGGAGCCCAGAGAGTATTTTGAAGTCTTTTGGGTTCCGTGAGGTTGGTGGTTATGGAGTATGTTTCTGAGATGATGGATTTAGCTCAGTTTATAATAACTACTTAAGACTCTCAAATGGAGGTGGGTCCAGGACACAAATCTGAACCCAAGTCAGCCTGCACTTCCAGGAAGCACCTGTCAAGGAAACGTAACACATTGATCGCATTCCTCCAACTCAGCTCTCGCTGGCTCACTTTACTTTAGGAAATAGGACCGGCCACTCTCCTAAGGAAATCCCCGACCTCCCAACCAATCCTGCCCCATTTCCATGTTGCCAAATCTAATATTTTATAAAACTTGCTGTTGCCCCAAATCCCTCAGGAGGTGTCTCCACTGCTTCTGAGGCACTGGCTCCCCAATCCAGGAACTATTCTGCCTTGAATAAAATTGGCTACTAAATTAGTTTAGTCTTCTCATTTGCAGTTTGGAGGAAGAGTAGAGTACTATGTGGGGTTTCTCTTTCTCCTCTTTTTGACCTTTTAATTCAAGAGCTGGGAACCTGAGTGAGTCCCATTGACACCAACACAGGTCGTCAGAGCATGCTGTGAATGGAAATTGCCAAGAACCATTTATGTCAAGGGAACAAAAATTGGAGCTCGGGTGACCAAAAAGAAGTTTGCTTATGCACATCCCACTTAGGAACTCTTGAACTTTGAAGCTCACCATGACAACCAGACCATCTGCCTTCTTCAATCTGAAAGAAGCCAATCTGATATACCAACCGGCATCCTCCATTTACATAATGGACCTAACCAGTCCCTATTAATCTAGCCAAATAATCCTTATTTTACATAGAGGATCTAAATGGGGACAGTACTTGTAGTTTTTGCCTTTATAAACCCTGCCTTTCTATGTTCCCCTCGGGGCATTCAGTTGTTACCTGAATCTGGACCCCCCCAATCACAACCCCTCCTTTGCTCAAATAAATGTGTGTTTATTTTAAATCCTTTATTACAGCCTGAACCTGCATTTTGCTTGATAACATCCAGGTTCCTGCTTCACCCTGGAGTGAGGTATGGACATGTCTGAGGGTGTCTGGGTGTGGGGCATCTTCTCAGCTCACCCTGTCCACTCTGCACTCCTGGTCAAGTGGCCATTGCAGTCCCTGCCACATCCTGCTCTGCTTCACCTCCCCGGGTTTCTGGGAAGACTCGGGCAAGTTGTCATATGTTACCCAGGCCCCAGGAGCACCAGTGCCGGTGTAGCCCAGCAGTGTTGCTCAGTGGTTAAGGGTTTGACCACCTCTGTTAGAATCTTGGCTCCATCTCTTGCTTTGTGTTTTTTGGAGAACTGCTTGCCTTCTCTGTGTCTCAGTTTATCTGTAAAATATGGATAATAATACTACCTACCTCATAGGATAGTTGCAAAATTAAATGAGATCCTGTATGTAATAATAGTACCTACCTCATAGGATAGATGCAAAATTAAATGAGATCTTATATGTAAAGTAATCAGAATGGTGTCTTCTCTATAAGGAGCACCCCCATTTCCTGAACACATCAACTTCAGGCTTTGACCTAAGACCTCTTTCTTGAGGCTCAAACATAGTCTGACTGAGATGGGAAGGGAGTGGACAGGATGTGGGAGGATACCTGCCATGTTGCCCCATCTTGCCCTCATCTCTCTCTCTCTCTCTCTCTTGCATTCTGGTACAGAAAAATATGAAAGTTCCCAAGCATGTCAATTTAGGGACCTGGGTGCCCACAGGGGTCACAGTTCTGCAAATTGCATGTGTGAACCCAGTCTGACCTTGATTAGGTCCCCCTGAGCTCCACCGTGGATCACTAGGGCATTCTCTGTGGGTCTATTGCATACCCTCTGACAGCCCTTTAAGGCTTTCTCTCCCATATTGCCATCTAAAGGCCCTTGCCTCACATTTGAATTTCACTCCCGAGCATGTTGCTGTGATCACCAAAATGGCTCTGGGGCTTGGGTTGAAGACAGGCATTTACCAACTTTCTCACCCCAAATTAGTTTTCTGCCAAACCTGTCAGGGTGAGCTCAGTACTTGTCAGCTATGCCTCAAGCAGGCTGTCCCCTTCCAGGAGAACTGCACAAACAGGAAGGTTTCTCCTGTGGGTTGGGTGGTGTCACTGTCCTTCAGCGACAGGAACTCCTGACTCTCCCTCTGTTTAAGAGAGAATTATGGGAAATTTATTTTTTCTGTGCTCCTGGCTGTGCCTGAGGGCTTGGCTTTTGCTTCCAGGCATTTTCTGGTCTTGCCAGAGCAGGTGGGATTGGTGAACTTGACTTATTTGCCATTGTTACTATTTCTCTTTTTTGCATGAATGTCAATTGCAATGGTTTACTTTTTTTTTTTATTAAGTAATCACAGTTCTTATTCCCTTCCTTTTCTAATGACTATTTTAAACCCTCTTACATCTTTTTCTTTTACTTGTAACAGCTTTCCTTACCAACCTTTTTAAAGACAGTTCCAGTAAAAACATAATTGCTAAACAAAGAACTGAACATTGAATGGGGACAATTTGATGAGTTTGGACATCTGCAAACACTTCTAACACCATCACTTGATCAAGATAACAGACGGCCCACACCTCCCAGAGTCTCCTTGTCTACCCACCCCACACCTTTTTAATGTGGTAAGAAAACAACCTTTTTTATTATGGGGCTCCATCTCCTTTTACATTAAAATATTTATTGGGCATTTATTTGTTGTATTTATACTTTTAGTATTGTTAAAAACAATAAGCTGAGACATATTAAAATTTTTAAGAATTTGAGCAAAATCAGTTGGAATCCGGCAGCTCTGAAGCAGAAGTGGTTAGGAGCCCTTTACTGACTGGAGCCGAGGAGAGACATGGAAAGTAAAGACATGATTGATTGGCTGTAGCTTAAAGCCTAGTTGACTGTGATTGGTTGTCCTTCGGTTTCAATTTTGTATCTTTGAGACAGTTACAGGCGTAGATTTTGGTTTGCATATGTAGGTGCCCGTGGGTTAGAGCCACGGTATCTGATGGCCTCCTGGTTTAATTTATTTAACAGTAGCAATGGATGAGATTGTTCATAAAATATATATGGTCAATAATTTAATCCTCTACATTTTCTAAAGGAATAAACATATTTTTTAAAATAGAAGTTCGTCAAGGGGCTACATTTATTATTAACTGAGCATAGTGTCCACTGTAAGGGTGAATCCCACTGTTTGGAAACCAATGATTTATAGAGAAAAACTCCCACTCCTTTCCTCTGTTTCTTAGTCTCTCTCTCTCATACACACACACACACACACACACACACACACACACACACACAGAGTAATTGATGGTCTGATGTTAATCTGTGTTGTTGTTTTTTCATAGCTGACCTGAGGTTCTAGGGTAGGGATGAAAATATAGGCAATGAGGATCCCAATATTTGGTCTGGATGCACTCACTATCACAATGTCCCTGAGGAATCTACTTGGCTACCCTGAGCCCTAGTTTTCTCATCTGTAAACTGAGGACTCCTTACGCTATAAGGTCACTCTTTGAGCTTATATCCCACAATCCAAGAACTCCATGGATGCAGAAGAGCTACAATTTATAGTGGCAATTAATACACAAGCAAGAAAGGCAAGTGCCTATTTGCATATAAATAGAATGCTAACCATGAGATGCAGATAAGGCTTCTCTGAATCAAGATGGGCTGTCAGCACACCGTCCTTCCTTCCGGAGGGGCCCAGGCAGGGCAAGCTGCGGCAGGACACAGAGTGCTGTGGGCTATTGACAGCCCGGGCGCGCTGACTGGCCTCTGGCTCCCAGTGCTCAGCTTGGGGGAGGCCTATCGCACCGTTCTCGGATTTTGGACCCTATCTACCAGAGCAGAGGGATTAAAAATAAGGTTTGGGCCTGATGGGCAGTGGCCAGCAGTCAGCCACATGGTGACATTTATTGTTCACCGAAAGGGGCTTTGGCAGAGAGGAAGTCAGGAGGCCGAGGTAGATGATTTAGGACCACGAGCAGATTGCCAGGGTCACTTCTGCTGACTTCTCTGCAACTGAGGTTTGATTTTCATTTTGTAAATAGTTATTTGATTCCTCTACACCAGTGGTTCTCAACCTTCCTAATGCCACAACCCTTTAATACAGTTCCTCATGTTGTGGTGACCCCCTCCCCAACCATGGAATTATTTTCGTTGCTATTTCATAACTGTAATTTTGCTACTGTTATGTCTTAGGCAATCCCTGTGAAAGGGTGGTTCGACCCCCAAAGGGGTTGCGACCCACAGGTTGAGAACCGCTGCTCTATACTCATGAGGAATAAAATTCATTCTTATCTCACTGTGTTGTTATATGATATATATTTCATTTATTTGAGATAATACTATAATCTTGACATAGTTTAGTTAATATTATATAAGCACATTCCGATGTCTTTAAAACTATTCCCAGCCCTGGTCGATTTTCTCAGTGGTTAGAGCACTGACCGGCTGACCAAAGGGTCTTGAGTTTGATTCCCTGTCAACGGCACATACCTGGGTTGCAGGTTCGATTCCCAGCACCAGTCAGGGTCATGTGGGAGGCAACTAGGTGATGTGTCTCTTTCACATCGATGTTTCTCTTTCCCTATCTCTCCTCTTCCTTCCCTTCCACTCTGTCTAAAAATTAATATAAAAGGTCCTCAGGTGAGGATTAACAACAACAAAAAAGATGAATAATAAGAATGTGTGAATTTGAAAAAACAAAAACAAAACCTATTCCTAGACATAATTGAAGGGTGCATATCATCATACAGGGGTGGGCAAATGTAGGTGTACAGTTGTGCGTACGTGAAACAGAGTTTATTCTTGTATTATTATTTATTAATTATTGTATTCTTTTTTATGGAAACAACTGTCAACCTACATTTGCCCCACACTGTATTGAAGGAAATTACTATAACCTACTTAACCTGGGTTTCAACATTTAGCTTCCTTCCATTATAAGTAATCTTAAAATAAACATCTTTTTCTATAATTTATATCATGTATCAAACTGGAATTATTGTGTAAAAAGTATATGTATAATTTTTTTCTTAGAATTTTTTTCTTTATTGATTTTAGAGGAGAAGGGAGAGGGCGAGAGAGATGGAAACATTGATGAGAGAGAACATCGACTGGCTACCTCCTGCATGCACCCCACAGGGGACTGGGCCCACAGCCTAGGCATGTACCCTGAGTGGAGATCTCTTGGTGCTTGGGTCGATGCTCAACCACTGAGCCACACTGGCCAGGCTGTACAATTTTATTTTAAAATTTTTAATGCAAATTTTCAAGTGTATCTAAAAGTAGGAAGAATGATCTTATGTACCCAGCATACCCATCACCAGCTTCAACAGTTATTAACGCCCAGCCAGTCTTGTTCCATCTATTCCCTCCCCATCCCATAATTATTTTGAAGCAAGTCCCAGATGTTATTTCATATGCAGATTTTCAGTATGAATTTCTGAAGTTATTAATATTGTCAAATATGCTTTCAGCATCCAGATAAGTTCCATACACTGTGATTGATTCACAGGTTTTTTAGATCTGTTTTTATCTATATGTTCTCTCACTTTCTTCTGTTTTATCCTAGGAACCCAGGTCATTTTTTGCTATGCAGTCTCACAGTTAGTTGCTAATTGCATCCCCAAAGTAGTTAATATGTTTTTTTCTTCCCTCATATTTTTTATAGATTGATAATTAGCTCTAGGAACTTGATCAGACTCCAATCCTCCCAGATTAAAGTCTTCTTCCCAGTTCTCAAATTGGAAGATTCATTCTGCTTGAACAAAATAAATTTAGGTATTCACATTGACCAATCAAACTTGGTGGCCAAAAAACAGTGACATTATCCTGACTGGTTTGCAGGGAGAATGAGCACTCATGCAAGCCACCTGGACTGTTAATGAAGTGTTTCGGGGACAGGGAGGTCCGCAAACAAAATTGGGCCTTTTATTTATTTATTTTTTTATCCTCACCCGAGGACATTTTTCCATTTTTTTTGTTTTGTTCAGATAATGTAGGAGGGAAAGAGAGGAAGAGACAGAGAGAGAAACATCGATGTGAAAGGGACACATCAAGTGGCTGCTTGATGTGTCTGCCACCCGCACGACCAACCAGGGCTGGGGACAAACTGCAACCGAGGTATGTGCCCTTAGCGGGAACCGAACCCGGGTCTCTCGGGACTGCAGGCCGACGCTCTAACCGCTGAGCCAAACCGGCCAGGGCAAAATTGGGCAATTTAAAATCTTTTTTTTTTTTTTTTTTAATCCTCACCCGAGGACATTTTTCCATTTTTTGTTCAGATAGAGCAGGAGGGAGAGAGAGGAAGAGAGAGAGAGAGAAACATCGATGTGAAGGGACACATCGAGTGGCTGCCACCCGCACGACCAACCAGGGCTGGGGACAAACTGCAACCGAGGTACATGCCCTTAGCGGGAACCGAACCCGGGTCTCTCTGCACCACAGGCCGACGCTCCAACCGCTGAGCCAAACCGGCCAGGGCAGAATTGGGCTTTTTAAATAGAGATTATTAAACAGTGTGAATGGAGGCTGTGATGATTAATTTTATGTGTCAATTTGACTGGGCTCAGGGATGCCCAGATAGCTGGTGAACATTATTGCTCGGTGTGTCTGTGAGGGTGTTTCTGGAAGAGATTAGCATTTGAATCAGTAGACTGAGTAGAAAAGATGGCCCTTACCAATACAGATGGACATCATCCAACGCACTGACGGCTCAAATAGTAGACAAAGTCCAAGGTCAGATGAATTCTGCTCTCTTTTGAGCAGGGACATCCATTCTCCTACCTTTGGACATCAGAGCTCAGACTCCCGGGCCTTTGGACTGAGCTCAAGTTACGTCTTGAGCTTCCTGGTGCTTCTTTTGCAGATGGCAGAGCATGGGACTTCTCAGCCTCCGTAACTTTGTGAGTCAATTCCTGTAAGAAATCTCTTTATCCTGTTGGTTTGGTTCTCTGGAGAACCCTGACTTATACAGATGCTAAAAGGCCAAAACCAACAAATGCTCAGTATACTTAACCTTGGAGCCCAAAGCATAGATCTCATATCTGAGAGATCAGCCAACACAGAAAAAAGTGCCCATTTCTGATGCAGAGAAGATGTGAATCACAGGATCTAGAAGGGGCTGCAAGAGTGTTTTGTTCAAATCTTCTAGAATGCTGAGGACACGGGATCTACACACAGGCTAAGTGACTTGCCCAACAGCATACTCTTTGTCAACTGTGGGACTGGAACGTGGATTTAAAAAACAAAATGTTTTTATTGACTTTTTAGAGAGAGAGGAAGGGGGAAAGAGATAGAAACATCAACGTGAGAGAGAAACATTGATTGGCTGCCTCCTGCACGCCCCCTACTGGGGACTGAGCCCTCAATCTGGGCGTGTGTCCTGACCAGGAATCAATCTGGAACCTCTCGGCCCATGGGTGATGCTCAATCCACTGAGCCACACCGGCTGGGCTGGAATGTGGATTTTTGATTCTCAGCCAGGATTACTTCCTCTGAATCATTGCCGTTCTTATTTTAAGATAAATAAAGGCCAACCAAAAATGAGAAAGTCTAGACTAGGAGTTTACAATGTTCCTAGTGCCATATTTTTC